TAGAGAGAGAGAGAGAGAGATGAGAGAGAGAGAGATGAAGAAGACGAGAGAGAATGGTGTGGAAAGTTTTGAGAATCTTACACTATCTGAGTTAGAGGTTAACATAAATTAGCAGTTTAAAAGAGACCTTACAACATTTAAGTTTTCCTTTTTTCTTCCGTGTCTGTTCTATGTCCAGATGATGCAATCTACGATCGAGCTTGTATCCTATCACCTAGTATCCCCTTTGGAAGGAACGAGAAAGTTTAACATGATAACAGTTTTTTTATATTATATTTTTTTCAATACATTATAATACCATTGAGCTTACCACTATTTATGGCTAATTTAATTGCAGAGAATAAACACGCGATTCTCTCTCTTCTCTCTCTCTCTTCTACTCTCTCTCTCTCTCTCTCTCTCTTCTCTCTCTACCTCTCATCTCTCTCTCTCTCCTACCCCCTCTTCTCTCTCTCTCTCGTACCCCTCTTCTCGTCTTCTCTCGTACCCCCATCTCTCTCCTCTCTCGTACCCCTCTTCTCTCTCTCTCTCTGCGACCCTTCTCTCTCTCTCTCTCTCGTACCCTCTTCTCTCTTCTCCTCTCTCGTACCCTCTCTCTCTCTCTCTCGTACCCTCTCTCTCTCTCTCTTTCTCCGTACGCTTCTCTCTCCTCTCTTCCTGCGCTACCCTCTCTCTCTCCTCTCTACGTACCCTCATCTTCTCTCTTCTCTTCTCTCGTACCCTCTCTCCTCGTTAACCCTCCTCTCTTCTCGTACCTCTCTCTTCTTCCCTCTCTCTCTGTACCCCTCTCTCTCTCTCTCTCCTCGTTACCCTCTCTCTCCTCTCTCCTCTCCTCGCTTTACCCTCTCTCTCATCTCTCTCTCTCGTACCCCCTCTCTCTCTCTCTTCATCTCATCGGTACCCTCTCTCTCTCTCTACTCTTCTCCGCAGTACCCCTCTCTCTTCTCTCTCTCTCTCGTACCCTCTCTCTCTCTCTCTCTCTCTCTCGTACCTCTCTCTCTCTCTCCTCTCATCCGTTACCCTCTCGTCTCCTCTCCTCTCTCCGTACCCTCTCTCTCTCTCTCTCTTCTCTCGTACCCCTCTCTCTCTCTCTCTCTCTCCTCTCTCTCTCTCTCTACGTACCCTCCTCTCTCTCTCTTCTCCCGACCCTCTCTCTCTCTCCTCTCGTTACCCTCTCCTCTCTCTCTCTCTCCTCGACCCTCTCCTCTCTCCTCTCTCTCGTACCCTCTCGTCTCTCTCTCTCTCTCGTACCCTCTCCTCTCTCTCTCTCTCTCGTACCCTCTCCTCTCTCTCTTCCTCTCTCGTGACCCTCTCTCTCTCTCTCTTCTCTCGCTACCCTCTCCTCTCTCTCCTCGTTACCCTCTCTCTCTCTCCTCCTGCGGTTACCCTCTCT